TGAAGGGTGGGGTGCTTTGCAATGCCCGTCATTATGCAAAGGCCCAGAAAGGGCTTCAGTTCTCTCGTGTTCAGATCAGTCCATGATCGCATGTGCGCCGATGTCGTAGCGGGCCTCTGCACGTCATACCGGTTGCTCTCTTGCACTATCTTGTTGTAGAGAACGTCGTCAAAAAACAGTTCAAAGGCTTCACTGCAGGTCGAGCTGCGATGCAGCCGGGGATCAATGGCACCACCATTACCGGTGAAGCCATACTTCAGCGGTGTACTGTCTTCATCTGTCCACCGGAATGGTGCGGCACTGCTGCTGGTCGACACGGCGGTCTGTGTGCGGGACTGTCTCTTGCGCTTGGCATATACCGCCAAGGGTACATCACTGTCAATTTCTGTACTTGACTGTACTTGAGCAGGTGATGGCGGTGATGAAAAAGACAAAGAAACTTCGTCTGAACTCAGATAAAACTCGCTTTCGCTGGAAGAACTGGACTCTCCGGATGTAACTTCAGCCATGTTGTCTGTACTCTAAATAACACGATACCCAATATGAACACATGTGAACGCTGCACGGCATTTTTATTCTCAAGCAGCGAGGGCCGTGCCCTGTCAGTCAACGTGGCAAGGGCCAGCAGTGCCCAGGCCGGGTCATTCATGGGGCGCAGGTGCATAATGAGCCCGCACAGCCCGCGCTTTGTCTTCGGTGCAGTGCAGCGATAATCCCCTGCGAGCGCCCGGCAGCGCGAACAAATGTGCTCTGCAAAACAATACACGGATGACCTCTGCTAATTGCAGCGCTCTGCGCTGAAAGAATACAGGGATTGATTGGCAGTGCCCAGCAGCTCTTAGGAGCTCGTACTTTTATTCAAGGCTTTGATAAGTTCGCTCACCCTGGCTATAAAATAAGTTCGGTCACCCCGGCTATAAAATAAGTTCGGTCACCCCGGCTATAAAAAAAGTCACAATTCACCGGCCAATGATGGCCTAAACTTTTTAACTGACAGCCCCAAACTTTTTAAGAAACGCCCAGCAACTTTTTCTTTTTTATAGTAAAGTTCTGATTTCGGAGTCCCCGGCCCCAAATATAAGGCCTATGGCTCCGGTACCGGAGCCCCGGCTGGAAGTGGTTAAGGTCAAGACAATAACTAGTTGAAGGCATTAAATCACTGTGCCAACAACCGTGAGAGACTACAATTGACCCACTAAGTGACAACTATCCCCCAACATCCCGCGGTAATAAATTATTTGAAGCTGCAATTTAGTTTGCCTCAAATTGATTATACGGGAAATACAGAACAAATACCATTTGCCACTGATTCAGATGCTACTTTTTAACACCGGGCTTTAATCAGACGAGGGAAATTTCACTCAGACCAGTGATGGTTTGGTATTCTAATAGTAATAATTTGTGAATTTTCCAGACTTATCTCAAGTGAGCTTAGTGATGGGCCATTATGGTGTGTTTATGCAAAAATGCATTTCAACAAGTTACGCTGTTTTGACCAAAATATGCCTAGTGCACTGTTCAAGCAAAATGTCATAGGTGATCTTGTCCCCTTCAAAGACCACTTACCTATATATAAAATTAATTCAGATACGACAAAAGAATTGTGTCAGTAAAAATATTATCTGCCTGAAGTTCCATTCAGCACAAAAGTTTACTGGGAGGCCGCAAATCTATTCATGCAAGTTTCTCAAACTAAACTAAGCTGAGATACGACGTGTTTGAACTGACACAATGCAACGTTCATCATGGAAAAATTGCAAACTTTTGGGTTTTGGTAATGTAAAAAACCCCAAGCACTTGAACAAAACAAAGTACATAGAATTGTTCACATACTATCAAAATATGTCTACTTACGAAAAGGATGGTTCACTAGAGTGTGCCTTCAGTGGTATGTCTGTTCCGAGAATTTCCTTTGAAATACCAACTGGCACCTGTTTGAAACAAGAAAAAAGCCATGCATATATGAAAGTTTTCTTGTAGACTTCTTCTATCTTATCTAGTCATACGTACTTCAAACATCTTTTTTCCCAAATTTGTCGAAATGGCATCATTTTTCTTCTGATTTTTTAAATTTTGCACAACTTGGCACAATGGTATTCCTTCTATCAACAGTTTCTTTTCCCCCTTTTTTTTGCAATTATGTGAAAAAGGCACTCTTTTCCTTGTAATTTTTTTTCTTCTGCTTTTAAGTTCTATCCAAAAGCCCATTAATTGTCTACAGGTTTTCTATGGCACTATGGTTACTTTACAATCTTGCCTCTCCATCAAAGTTACACCAAAGAAAGACCCTAATAATAAACGGTCATAGAGAAATGACTTCATCACATGATTATTCAATTTTGACTACTTCTTTCAACCCATTGACTTTGTACACTTTTTTTTTCAAGAGGCTTCTTTTCAGTCACTTAGCAATCTTGCATCTTCACCAACTTTGCACCAAAAAAGACCTTAAAACAATGACATCATGATTTATTATAGCTGTTAATTTCTGGTCTGAAAGGATTTTACACTGTACTAAATCAAAAAAGTCTTTGCTTTCTCCCCGAGCACATGCGGTCAAAAGAAATTCACAAGGCTCCTTTCCGACCATGTCCAATTAAATAGTTATGTATTTCAGGGTACCGTGCACTGCTTGTACTATGCTGAAATGTGGGCTGAATGTAGGGTGACATATAGCTTAAGCCTGGTTCAGGTTGATTTCGCCACGTATGTTGTCGACCGAGAATGGTGAATGGTATCCCCAACAAATCACACAATTTGTTTTATGGGTCACACAGAAGAGAACCCTACTGATTTCTTTCACCTTCGTGCATTTCAAACAAACAAAATTTTTGAAGTTTTTATTTTGCTCTCCAAAAATTCCTCTCACAGCAGAAAGTAATAACTATAATAATTTTAGAGGGTTTTCCTAAGACGAAAGTGAAAAGAAGTGCAGACGCAGAGAGAACATTTTCATTGGGCCACTCCAGCTTTTGCCTCCACATGCCATTCATGAACATGCCCACATAAATTAGAATTTATTAGTGGAAGGGTCTATGATCATGTTGCCAACAGACGCAGGTAAAGTCTACTGAAAAGAATGCCTCATAACTGTCACAGAAAAGAAACATGGAGTTTCCTCATCTGAAACATGGAGTTTCCTCATGTGGACCACACAGTCCCAAGCGTACATGCCTACTCATTGGGTGTGTCCAAGTTTGACTATCACCCAAAGGTCACAATAGGGTGACAGACAAACAATGGTCTAGCTTCAAGGTAAGTCTTACAAATCACTGGGCGACTTCTTCACAGTCACAATAACCTTTAAATATCTTGTGAACAATCTCAAATGTATTCATTTAATTTCATATTGGTTTATTAAAATCCATTTTCGCAGTTAAAAAAATGAATTTCAATGGATTTAACAATCAAAATAAAAAAGATCAATTAAAATAAGAATGAAAAAACCCAGAATTAAATAGTTACAAAAATATTCAACATTTACCATTACAGTTTACACTCACAAAAAATAAACCATGTAACATGACTAATGACCAACACTCATATAACATGACTAATGACCAACACTCATATAACACTACTAAAACATGTCCGTTGAAATTTACACTTCAAAGATGAAATTATTGTGATCTTAAAAATTTCAGCCACATGTAACCTTTAAAATTTCACTCCCATGTAAAAAAAAATGTAATACAGGGCATTTCTTAAGAGGAGCACAATTTTTATAATATTTCTACTAAGAGAATTTATTAGAGGGGCATTCCTTCCCATATTTGTTATGCAACCGGATTAAGGTAGGAAGCACACTGGTGAAGTAACGTTTTGTTCGGCAACAGATTTCACAGATAAATGGTTTATTCTGCAGCATTCTTGTATGTTGAGGTGGAAAGAATTCACGAAAAAGGTCAGTGTGGTCAAGGGTTTTCATAAATATTCAAAATTTAACAATAAATCACACAACCATAAAATTATAATGTTGCTTCACAAATACAATCTGAATTAAAACTTCTACATCCCTATGAATTTCACATTGATAACTCTTTGAAGAGTATGCGAAATGTCCCTTCAAATCTGTGTGCAAAGTCTATAGGCTTAAATAAATATTCAAAAATTAACAATAAATCAGGGGATCACATCATCATCATCATGTCACTACAGGGTCCTTCTTGGAATATGAGCTTGTTTTAAGTCAATGGCCAAGGCAAGACAAAAAATGTATAAAGTGAATAGGTTTTTGTGGAGAAGAAAGTTCAGAAGAACAAAAAATCTTGACAAAAAGAAAGGCTTTTTCATGTAGTTCAACAAAAAAAGTTATAATCAACTACATGTACTAAGAGAAAGTAGGCTAATCCTCCAGGATTGTGGGTTGTGTATAAAACTGTATTAATTTGAATATGCAATGTCTATAATGCCAAAATGTAATGTCCTTGATGCCTAATTGAGACTTATAACAAGACAGGGATAGAAATTCTAATAAGTGTTATTGTTTTTCTTGTTGACTGTTGTCTGCCTAAAGTCATTTGTGCGTTGTCTGGGAATATACATTGAAACTAATGCACTGGTCGATACTAATTTTTTTTTTTTGCAATACGGCAGCGCATTGCGCTATTGAATTCAATGTGTACTATTAACATGGCCAACCGAGGTCATCAGCTTTATTTGATGGCTGAGATGTCCAAAAGTAGCATGCGTAAGGCAGTATGTTGGACCAAACCAACTTAGCCTCAGGAAAAATCGTGCGGCATTCCTGCATGAATAATGCACTGGCGTATTGTGAAGAAATCAGTACCCACACAGTGCCAATTTCTTTTTAATGAACAGATTGCTGAAGTGCTCAACAGAACTTTACACCATCACACCAGTCACTGTATCCACAACAGGGGTATAGATACTCAGATTTTTGTTTTTTTTGGTGCAAATTTCACATGATGGAACTTTCAACAAACAGGACAATGAATGTTACTAATTAGAAACATATCTCATTGACTCCAATGATAATGTTGGTTTAAACTATCTCTCTGAGGACACAGTCAGTGAGCATTCTTAAAAGTTATACATGTATTCGATATTAGGATGTTGATTCAGGATTTGTTAATTGGGATTGCTTTCATGTCCAAGTCGAAAAATACAAAACTAAATTCAATCATAAACTTGGGACTTGAATGCATTCATCCTTCCTATAGGCTTGTAGTTGTAAGCGTCAAAGCCCTTCAGCTCAGCATGTTGCTTGGGTGCATAAGCATCATTAAAACAACTGTTATAAAGTATGGAGTAAAAAGTTACTTTAAAACATATATTTGATATACTCGTTGAACATGAGGGCATGCTTATGAAGGCTAGTTAACTTTCATTGAGGTTAATAATGTTTCTTTGTGTTGGTTTCTGGTCATGATACTCATGAAAAACATGACTGACGGTAGCTTCCCTGGATCAAAGGTTAGAACTTTCAAAGGTCGATATTTCTTGCTGCCCCATGTGCTTCGCAAACACAGCATAAACAGTATGTATGCAAATGCTGAACCAAACATGGACCACTACACTTTTCAGTTGACCTTGTCACAGCCAATGTCAATATCATTTTCCACACAATCTCTTCTGGGTTGGAATCCAGTCCAGACAAATGACCACCAGTAACAGTCTGCTGTCACCAGCTGCTAACACGTGTCTCAGCTAAAGAAAAACCACGTTGCCAACATACATAGACAACACTGTAATATTTTCTTGTAAAGATAAATCACGGTTGTTTTTTTTGTCAGTCAGAGGAGTTCATTTACCACTAGTAGGTTTGTCCTGGGGTTGCAGTGATTTTCGACCCCTGGTAACAATGAAAAAATCTCAGACAAAACAGATTGATGTTTCTCCCAAGTCATTCACACAAGTTTGGTAATGCTTTACAAAAACGCAAGGACACCATATTAACACAATCTGTCAATCTGCATGATCACTTGATCTTTGTGTGATATAAGCTCAGTTGCAGGATAGGAAAAAGCATCATGCATTTGAAAATTATCCCAGTGTCATACAATACATGTCCCCCTTGTTCCTTGTTGGCAAGCGTATGGACGTGACTGCTGCCACTTTGCATTTCTAGTGATCACCATCATTTACAAGTCACGCCTCAACAATTTCTCTCTATAAAGAGAAGTGGCAGTGGAAATAACACCTCCATTTTTCTGATGTCATATAGCTAATACAATCCAGATGGTGCAGAGCAAAGGGCCAATGTAGACACAAAAATACCTCTTATCACTCATCTTACACACACTAAAAGCCATACTGCAATTAAAACAAACATTTTGGCATCGCCCACAATACTTCAAATTTCTGTCAGAAGAACAGACAGAGGTACTCAACATATAATGTGCAGAATTATTTCAGTCACTATATTCAGAATAATAGGATAGGAGCACAAATGTTTTAGTTTATTTGTGTAAAAAAGAATCAAGATCTTTGACATAAACATGATCAAGTTTAAAATATTTAAAAAAATGAAAAGGCTTATTTCAGGAAAGCACATATACAGGTCATTTTGTACGAAAGTGCTCTGTATACATTTCCGAGAATATTTGATGAGGGAATTTAAACATGCCTGAAATTCGAAGGTTGATTTAGTATTTATTGCGTGAGACTGTTTTCATGCTCCAAACGAACAAAACCAGCAAAACTCAATTTTAGCTTTAAGAAATTGGAATGTTTATCCTCAACCTAGCCCTAGAAGGTGCAAGGCATAACAAGTTTACTTAAAACACCTGCATGTGCAAAACAGGGAGGCGTGCTTATGAAGTCATCTTAACCACTTCATGCCACGGCATTTTTCAATGTTGATGATGCTGGGCTGGCATGACTATCATTTTTTCTATTTTCAAAATCCTTCAAAAATTCATCATTTCATTTAACGGTCGTTTATAGCT